ACAGTTGTTACCCTTACCTACAATCCTAAATTCTTAGTATAGGATGCTAGTATTCCATCAGTGGCCCTACACTCTTGTTCGTCTGTCATGCTATACTATTGGGCCGTGATCACTTCGGGAGGTGATCACGGGTATATGCTATATACTTTATACTGTTACATTACTTACTATACTGTTCGGAGATGGGGGCTGAAGGGGCAGGTGGCTCCATCCTGGTGGAGGTGGGCCTGGGTTCCCGACGGCCCCCGACTGTTACTTTGTGGCGGAGCGACAGGGCAGGTTGAGACCTCCTAGGAGAGAGGTGGGCCTGGCCCTGGTCGGCGTCCGTGGTTATTTCTTAATAACATGCTTATCGAGATCTTGGTATTTGATCTGAGTTGGGTCGTTGACCTTATACGCACTAACCGCCACGTGGGACAAGATATGGGCAACCGGCGTCGTGGTATCAGCCGAAGCTCTTTTTGACGTTAGCGACTGAGGGACGCGCGCCACATTGGACGTAAGCTCGCGCTTGTATTAAGGGGGCTAGGTCTGCTTCCAGCCGTGTACGCAACGTGCAGGCATGCAATGGGCGATGGGCCCAGACCCCTGCGTGCATAGGATTTAGACCAGCGTGCTGACCTCTCTGTTGAGCCTAGGTGGGGCTGCGACGTGTTGATCTCCCGAGGCCGGACATGACCCAGTAAAGTTTGCCCGGCCAGAGGGATCGAGCGTGTCGGGTAATGTGGTGCACCCCTGCAGGGAAGTTGATCTATTCGAATAGCCGTGTCCACGGTAACAGGCGACCCGGAGTTGTACCTTGACCTTATGACAACTAGAACCGGATACTTAATAAAACACACCCTTTCAAGTGCCAGATACAACCCGGTGGTCTCTCTCTCACAGGGCGACGAGGAGGGGATCGCCGGGTAGGATTATGCTATGCTGCAAGATGGAGGCTGCCAAAAGTGTAGTCTTTGACAGGACTAGCTATCCCCCTCTTATTCTGGCATTCTGCAGTTCAGTCCACCGATATTGCCCCTTTACATTGATACCCCTGCATATGTAGTGTAGATCCTTGCTTGCGAGTACTTTGGATGAGTACTCACGATTGCTTTCTCCCTCTTTTCCCCCTTTCCATTCTACCTGGTTGTCGCAACCAGATGCTGGAGCCCAGGAGCCAGACGCCACCGTCGACGACGACTCCTACTACACTGGAGGTGCCTACTACTACGTGCAGGCCGCTGACGACGACCAGGAGTAGTTTAGGAGGATCCCAGGCAGGAGGCCTGCGCCTCTTTCGATCTGTATCCCAGTTTGTGCTAGCCTTCTTAAGGAAAACTTGTTTAACTTATGTCTGTACTCAGATATTGTTGCTTTCGCTGACTTGTCTATAATCGAGCACTTGTATTCGAGCCCTCAAGGCCCCCGGCTTGTATTATGATGATTGTATGACTTATTTTATTTTAGAGTTGTGTTGTGATATCTTCCTGTGAGTCCCTGATCTTGATCGTACACGTTTGCGTGTATGATTAGTGTACGATTGAATCGGGGACGTCACACCTAGTTGCATATCTAGACAACCTGCTTTGATGCAAAGTTTAAATTGGTAAAGAAAAGCTAAAAATTGTTAGTTACCTATTCACCCCCCCTCTAGTCAACTATATCGATCATTTCACACGTAACTTGCTATCATGAATCCAATTGTGAAGGCACTTGCATGCAGTGCCAGTCACCTTTCGGACCTCTGGTTGTTTAGAATCTTAGAATCCTCGTTTTTTGAGGTTTTGGATTGCACCAGGATTCTAGAGAATCCTCTCAAGAGTTTTCAATCCAAATCAAGTTCTTTTTGGCATAGACTGGGCCTTGCTTTCAAAAGAGCTGGGCCTTGCTCTCAACCACAAAAACTCATGTGCTACGACACTTTATTGTTATCATTTCACTCTTCACAAAATCAAGTACTGAAACCTAACAATTGCCTCCTATCTCCCCAGAGCTAATGCCTCCACCCCTCTCCATAGTTTTCGCCTACTACCTCCCCGCTGCTAGAGACCAGTGGTCGGGCTAAGCCCTAACACTATTCGATGAAGGCTACAGTGGGCATTCTTTGCTCCGGTAGCCCTTGGTCACGAGATTGCGAGGGTGACCTTCGTCGTTCCGAGCCTTTAGTGTCTACTAACACTTGTTGCGGCTTGACTTGTATGAGCATGATCTTCACTTGTGTGGCATCTCACATCTAAACTGTGGTACACATGTAGCTGCTCAGACGTGGAAAGTGGTGGCGACAACACATGATAATTTTGATTTGGTTACCAATCTCGAGCTTTGGGGTGAAACCCCTAAATTTGACCCTAATTAGTTATACATGACAGCTATATTGCATGGATACTTGAATATGTATCAGAACGCGATATGGTGATACACCCGAGCTAATTTTCTAAAAATTGTGATATGGGGATACATTTGTATATATGTAGTCCCTCTGTTCCAAAATGAGTGTCGTGGTTTTCCTTCAAACACGCACAAGTCTCTAGCCAGTGGCAAGGTGGCGACAAATCAGAGATTTGATTGGAATTCAGAAGGAACATGTAGGAGAGGAGAGGACTCGACGAGCTGAGAAGTCATGGAGACGTGTGGCGGCTCCACGAGGGAGTCAAGGGGTTTTCACGTCAAAACGAAGTGTTTCTCGTATCCAAAACGTAATGCAGCTATATCCCAAGCATATCAAACATTTTTTAAAAATCAATAAATTGAAGGATACATACAGGATACGTATCGGGGCAGTATCTGGCTAGATAAGAGCGCTTTATGCAGTATCTGTGCAATCTATCGAGCATATGTACGTCTTCCCTACCGTAGCCACCGCCACGCCAGGCGACTAGGGAGGCAATTTTCTTCCTCCGATCTCAGTCGGCCAGGGCGTTGGCCCCCTCTCCCTCCGGCTGCTCCGGCGGTAGGAGGGAGGGGGGCCCTGTTCCTCCGCTCTGTAGTTAGGTTTTAGATTTGTAGGTCATGGTGCGCCGTTGGGGTGGTGGGAGCGGCACCCGGACGAATAAATCTGCCTCAGCTTCACTCCCACACCGGCGGTGCCCTTCATGGCGGCGTCTCGGAGTTGATGGCATCATGTGTTTGACGATCCTTCAGATCGGCTATGTTAGGGTTCATGGATGGTGTCGGCAAGGCGGCGGCGACTTCATCAGGTGTGTCTCTCCTTCTGCTATGTCCCCGTTGTTGTGGCGTTGTCTCCGACATCATGGTAGAGCAGGGAGGTTTTGTCGTCCAGGAGTACACGCAGACGGTTGTCTGCGCAAGTGACAGCTGGAAGATGGTGCATCCCATGCTGGGTTTGTGGTTGGTGGCTGACAGTTCTGGTTTCCTCCTTCGACGTCGTTGTCGTGCGGGGGTGTCAGATCTAGTGTTCGATGGCGTGTCCGGGGACATGTTGCCTCGGTCTGATTCTTTCAACGACAATGGGTTTGCTTCTGGCAAACTACTTTCGAGGTCCGTAAAGCTGCTGATCAGCGATGGAGCCGCGTCGAGCTCGGGTGAAGAGGCGATCTGTTTTTTTTCCTTTGGTGGCCGCTTCGGTGGTGCCAGAGGAGAGGAACAGGCGCTAGTTTTTGCATTGGATTATCTTATCTTTTCAGTCTTGTAATGTTGGTGCTTACATGCCTTGTAACTGAATCTTTATTTTATAAATGAGACACGTATTACCATGCAAAAAAGAAGTATCTGTGCAACGTAGCCTGGCAATGGTAGTGTTTTTTGCTCGGTATCCTTGTTGAAGGATTTGCTCAGACTTGATCTTCAGGGTGAAATCCATGATCTGACCTTTCGTGGTTGGATCCGATGACGGTGGTACTTGAGCATCGCCCCCTTGGAGGCGTTGTTGCTGACAAATGTTTCTCGCTATCCCTGTGATGTCAAGAGATGATTAGCACGGATGGTGGTTGTTGTAGTTCATCGACCATTGTTTCGAAGTTTTTTTTTCTTTTGCCACTGCCTGCCCAGTCATAGCTTTGATCTTGTATTGCTTTGCTCTTAACCATTGTCATTCTTTGTGTGTGCGCGCGTTGGTGTTGATCATGCACATCTTAGTCATGGAGAGATTGAATGTACACTCATCGTGTTTGTATCGCATTGGTGCTTCATTTTGAGTCAATGAAATCCATCATTGTAAAAAAAAGTAATGTGAACTGCAAGTTTGCAAGTTGACTAACTTGTGAATGTTGTGAGCCTCCTCTAATTGGAACCCAAAACAACTACAGTACTAAATGTGGTCTCCAAGTTTCTGCACCAGCTGGTGCTCACTGCTCAAAGCCAACTCCACAAGAGCAAGAGGTAGCACTTCAGTGTCACTAACTTGGCAAGCCCATGACAACTGGCTGCAGTTCATGAGATGGAGGCAAGATTATAGGGGTCTCTTTTTCCATCTTAAAGCCAACTCGCGCCGGAAGAAGAATTTCATCGCCTGTGTCGAGTGCTGATGCACGTTCCAGGCCGACACATTTTCCCTCGCTGCTGCTTGGGACGCCAACACTTTCCCCTCTCGCGATTTCACTTCTACAGGCTCACGGCTTCCTATCTCTTCTCTGACGGGTGAAGACCCAAAACCCACAACAACCAAAGCAAGCTCGTCATGAATCTCGGCACAAGAGGGCACATCAGTTTATATATAAAAACCACTTCCAAGCTCCCAAGTACAATAACAAACATATTTACCACATGAAATATGTGGTAAGCAATCCAAACAATTCAAAAAAAAGAAACCAATAACAAACATGTTCTGCTGTAATTCAGGCTGTTATACAACAATACACTCGAGAGAGATCTCTCTGCCTTGTGAATATCAATGTAACAGCTGCAAAGTGAACACGAATGTTTACAGAGACGCCGCACATGTACACTGATCATCAATACAAAAAGATCTGTGGTCATAAACATATTCCAAGGTTTGGACATGTTTTTCATTTCTGACGTGCTCCGACAGCGGTGGAAACACCGGAGCTGGTACAACAGTCTCAACCTCTATTATCGTCAGCTTCTTTCGACTCCCTGAGCCACTCTTGCAGTTTCAGTTCCTGTTCTTCTTTGAACTTGTTGTAGCTCTCCGCCGTGTGGGAGATATCAGAAGCAGACAGGCCCTGGTTCATAGTACCTGCATTTTTATTTTCCAACAATCGGCTTGAAATGGAGACTTCATCCCTTTCTGCATCCGAGGGTGTTGACGCACCATGTCCTCCGGCTTGTGACGACTCCTGAGCTGTAGATGACACTGACTTCTCACTAACGCCATCGTTCATAGCGAAATCAGTCTGTGGCCATCTGAGACTCGATGCCTTTTGCTTTGCGGTGTTCAACATGGAAGACAAATAGTTCTTGCTACTTCCACCATTAGTTGCGTCCAAATCGTTCCATGCTTCCGAGCTTTTGTCTGATTGGAACCCCCAAATGGGGTTCTGGGTTAACCTGGACACAATAATTCACTTCTCAGAACCAACTAAAGAGGATAGCTTCCTCTACAAAAAAATTAAGAGCATGGCCTTTGTGCACACAATAATATGATACAACAGGGGGCTAAGGGTTAATCAAGCCGAGATCCCTGAGTGGTTTATTGGGCAGAAGTCGAATATTTAAGTTTTCTACCTTATTGGAAGCACATATAAAAACAGAGTGTAGGTAATAACTCCCTCTGTCTGAAAAAACTTGTCCCTCAAATGGATGTATCTAGCACCAAGTTAGTGCTAGATATAAACCTGGGAATAGTTTGGATTGAAACCTTAGTTTCAGTTCGGTTTTCCTACAAAACTGTCTTTGGATTGGATTGAATGGGCTGAGCCCCTAACATAATCTGGTGTGATCTGGGTTTTGCGTATTACTGGATTAGTTTGGTTCGGTCTGGACACATACAAATTGGTTTCAGACTGTTTCAACCCATGGTCAAAAACCAAATCCAGCGACCAAACTGTACGAGACCAGCGCTTCCACTCATGGCGGTCATTCACATGACCACAGTCCTCGACGGCGCATCGCCACAAGCTCTCTGTTGAGAAGAAGGCTACACAGGCAGAGAGAGAGTTCTCCATGGTGCTCTACGCACTGAATACGGTGACAAAATGATGGCAGCCGATCAGCCACAACCCCATCCATGGCAAGAAGCCAAGAATGCGTACAGGAAATCAATTAGGAGAAGAAAAACAGAGCCGTGACTCCAGACATGCGGCAATGGCGTGCTATGGTTGCTCGACCATGGAGAAAAGAGGAGGATAAGAAATCACAGTCGGCGAGAAGGTGCTCCGGGAGCGACAGGAACAGTCCTCTGTCACGACCCTGCACGCGCGATCATTAGACAACACCAGAAGGTGGTCGCGCGAAGGCACAACACTAGGCGCAAGGCAAGGAGGTGGCCGCGAGCTAGTATTTTGAGATGGAAGCGCGCTTGCGCATAACCCAGGCCTAGCGCATGCCGCGAGTTCACTTTCGTCCCGGTGTTTGCACCGGGCAGAGGCGGAGGCTGCCGCGAGCGCGTCCCCGGCGGTCGAAGCCCTCGGCGTCTCGGCGCCAGCGTGGAGTGCGACGACAGCGGCGTCCATCCCGGAGCTCCAGGAGATGGGGTCCCGACGGCACCGCATGACCCAAAGGGCACTGCAACGATGGGACGTCGATGGCAAGGATGCGCGACTATGGCAAGACAAGCAACTGCGGCAAGGTCAGCTACGCGACGCTTGACGTCACTAGCGGCGTGATGGCGCGTGAAATCAACTAGTTCTACTTCTACCTCCCTGGTGTTGCGATCGCTGACTCCGGTAGAGGATTCTTACTAGAGTACCAGTCCGTTAGATAAGCATGTGCATATGGATTTGTCTATGGTTTGAATCTGTGGATTCAATCCAAAAATAGGAGACGGTTTGGATTGGTTTGAGTGAATAACTCAGAGTTTGGTTTGGTCTAGACTCTAGCCAACAAAGTTTGGTTTGATTTGGTTTGGATGATCGACATGCAGTCCTATAGTTCGGGTTGGATTTAGTTTGGATGTCAAACTATTCCCAGGTTTAGCTAGATACATTCATTTGAGAAACAAGCTTGGGACAAGCTTTTTCGGACGGAGGGAGTATATTATGCTAATTATATTCAATCAATATTTTAAAATTACATATATTTTAAGTTTTAGTTCTTATATTATTAATCCAAATATTCATGTTCATATAATCAAATCTTACTGAAATATACTGCAAGGCGCGGGGTATCATCTAGTAATACATAAAGATGGACTGCTCCTAAATGAAAAAGGAACGAGTGTCTATTCTACGGATGGGATGAATGCATGCAGTGACTTTAGTGTACAGATGGCATGAATGCAGGAACTTCAGGATGCTAGCCTGCTAGGAGACTCCACATCACGTTCGAAAAAACAGAACCATATCAATGCCACAAGGTAGAGGGGCAGCCCGGTGCATGTAGCTCCCGCTTGCACAGGGTCCGGGGAAGGGTCCGACCGCTCAATGCCACAAGGTAATCAAACAAAAACCAGAAGGAAATCCTCAAGATTGCTAAATACTTACCCTTTCTTTGGTTGGGTCTTCGACATTATCTTTAGAGATTTATTTATGTCCTTTATCATATCATCAGCAATTGGAAGTCCAAACTCAGCCATGGACCTCACAGCACAAATAGAATCCTCTATATCTTCAGTGTGTAATGTTATCTCACGAGTCTTTTCTGTAACCTTGCCCTGATGAACCAGAAATGCCATGTTAGAATCTCTGCTTGGTTTGTGCTAGAACAGATCAAGTCATTAAAGAACTCAGAATTAGCAAATGTCAGCCAGTATTGAAACTTATGGTGCTACTCCCTCCGTCCCAAATTAATAGAAGTTCTAGGTTTATCCTAAGTCAAACTTGTGTAAGTTTTGACCAAGTTTGTGGGAAAATATATCGATATCTGGAACACCAAGTTAATTTCATTAGATTCTTCACAAAATATACTTCCGTGCTATGTATATTGATGTTGTAGATCTTACCATATTTTTCTATAAACTTGATCAACTTAAATAAATTTGACATTGGACAAACCTAGAACTTCAATTAATTTCGAATGGAGGGAGTAGAAGGAAAAGGACATTTTAGAACTTAGAAAGAAAAAGTAACGGCCTGAACAGTGATCCCAAATAAGCTATTGCAATCGTGAATGAAGCTTCATGGATATCCAAGTCATACCATGTTTTGGCAACTTAAAAGCAGAAGGACCTAGGTTGCTGGAAAAGAGAAACCAATTTAAATGCTAAAGCTGGCTTTCTCCAAACCAGGCTCCACCAGTGCTAAACAGAAATTGACTTGGATTGGCTCTGGACTGGCTAGCACGTAGGTGACTAGTTGGCTCTGCAACTAAAATGGTCTTATAAAGTCTGGAATGAGCCTATCTATGGATGCACTAAAGATTGTCAGACCAATCCAGTCAAAGAGTCGGTCATATGATAGAAGTGTGTGGTCCCATCATATTAACCTTTCTAGTTCGGACTCATTTTCTGTACTCCTGGTAGTATGTACTCCTATATTCAATATACCTGGTATACGCATCTATTGTACCTCTTTATCATTTTCAATAATATCGTTTGCACACATATTTTGTAATATATCTTTTTACATATGAAAAAACAGTATATATGCGAACTTTGTAAAATATGTGGACTCGCGCAATTTTTTTCATTTAACTCACTTTGGAGTATCTGGTAATTATAAATGAAGTATATTAAAAATGATAAAGAGGTATAATGGACTCATCTATGTGGTATATTGAATATGGGAGTACGTACTCCAGGGAGTACATAATCATTTTCCTTCTAGTTCCATAAGTGTATATTACTTCATATACTACTACATCTTGCACATGCAAGATGTGATCAATTTGACATTGTTCCATAAAAAGAACATACATTGAAGAAAAATATCACTCAGCTCAACCTATATGCGCACAACATTCAAGATTGCTGCATATCCGAGGAATTGTGCAAATTGCGTAATAGTATCTAACAAAGGAATCATACTAAAATCGAGCACTATAGTGGAGAAACCATCCCATGGTATCCTGTACATGCACCCCCAAACCAATCTTACCCAACCTGATTCCCTTAATCAATACAAGCCCAGTGTGTGACTTCTGTCAAATCCAAACCGGTCTAAATCCTAATGCCAATGCGCAACGCAACATGCTTAAAGGCCAATCATCGTTATGGGCACTGAACAGAGAGCAAATTGAGAGGGAGAGCAGACCTTGACGTCAAGGAGGATGGGCATGGATGCCTGAGCGTGCTGCTGGACGAAGTAGAGCCCGAGGGAGGGCTCATTGGCGACGTGCTTGATCATCTCGTCGACCCCCTCCTTCACTGATGGACCAAATCACGCGGGTAAGCGAGGTGCTCGACGGAATTCCCCACAGGAGCAGGAAGGAGAACAAGAAGAAGAAGTGGATCGGACGGGTTAATAATTACCGCAGAGGAAGCCGTCTACTGGGGAGAGGTGTGATGGAGACGAGGAAGAATACGCGACGGCGGCGGAGGAGGGGGAGGAGCTGTGCATGTCCGCGTCCGCCACAGAGCGCGGCGGGCGACCATCACGGGTGGAGTCGCTGCCGCGCCCCTCGGTTCCTCTTCTCAACGAGGAACTCAGATTAGCAGAGAGAGAGAGAGAGAGAGAGAGAGGGGATAGAGAGAGGGAGAGGGGAGGACACGACGGAGTTCGCACTCAGCGACGGCAGCGACGACGAGGAGGGGACGATTTCTTTTATTTTGTTTTTAGGGATGGAGGGGACGAATAAAGGCAAGAGAAATACTAGAGGGTAGGTAGGCTCATGTGCTATGGTGGCCGCTGCTTTTTCTTCTTCTCGAATAGCCGGGGCATCTTCACAGCGGCTGAGAACATCTCCAACGGCCGCCTAGCGCGTTAAAAAAGCGTTTGCAGCGTTTTGATCATCTGTTTTGCGCGGCGCGAAGTGCTGACTCCAGCGGCCGCTGTAAAGTTTAGCGTGCGTGTCCAACCGACATTGCAAAAATACTGCACACGCTCTAACACAAACAACATATGCATTCCAAACACAACTAAGAAGATCGAACACAAACAAAATAAATCAACAATAAATAGTTTAATTTCGTTATTACAACTCAAACAAATAGTTTATCTTTCAATACAACAAATAGTTCAACAATATAACATCAAACGCACAAATCATGATGCTCTTTGCCGGCCATTTTATGCCCACCACTCCTCGATGAGATCCTTCTGAAGATCATCATTCGTTTCGGCACGTCGAATGGCACGATAGGAGGCAACAAAACGGGCTACCCTGGCAGCCCTCCGCCGCACTCGCATGGGATGTCTCAAGAGCTTATAGTGAGAGTAGTCTAAATCTTGGCCACGCTCATTCTCGATGATCATGTTATGCATGATCACACAAGCGTGCATGATGTACCAAAGCATCTTTTGATCCCAAAATCTAGCCGGTCCTCTCACAATAGCAAATTGGGCTTGCAAAATCCCAAAAGCTCTCTCCACATCTTTTCTAGCCGCCGCCTGAGCATTGTGGAAATCAAGATTTTTCTTATCTTCTGGTTTTTTCAACGGTTTCACAAATGTTTGCCACTTTGGGTAGATGCCATTTGCAAGATAGTAGCCATAGTTGTATGTACAGCCATTTGCTACAAACTCCACCAGTGGCAATTCACCATTTGCAATCTTATTCATCAGTGGTGACTGATTAACAACGTTGATGTCATTCAAAGATCCAGGCATTCCAAAAAACATGCCAAATCCAAGTCTCTTGATCGGCCACCACTTCAAGGATTATAGTAGAACCCTTTTTTGGGGCATGGAATTGGCCATGCCATGCCTTAGGACAATTCTTCCAACTCTAATGCATGCAATCTATTGAGCCAAGCATACCTAGGAAGTCGCGAGCTTTGTTCATCTCCAATAGCCTTACGGCGCCTTCAGCATTGGGAGATCTCAAATACTCCTTGCCAAACACTTGCACAATTTTCTGCCCACCCATAACCGAACCACCGTGCTTCGGGCTTTATTGATGTGCATAGCTAGGATCATTGCAAGATCCTCCTCCTCTTCCATATCAAATTCTTCTTCGGGAGAATCATATGACGAACTCATCTACAATGTTCAATTTAAACTAGGCTATAAAAACTACAAACAACATGCACCAAATTCATGTAAAAAATGTGAAGTTGAAGCAATACATACCTTGCAAGCGTTTTGTCGAACACCTTGCGGGCTGTTCGTCGAAGGAATGCCGCGCGCGAGGGGCGGCGACAACTAGAGGGAGACGGAGGAAGCAGCGGCGGCGCGGCAATAGGCCAGGGAAGCGCCGGAACGGTCGCCGGAACAAATGGGGTGGAGCGGGTGGCGGCGGTGCCAGCGGCTGGATGGGGGGTAGGTGGAAGTTGCGAGCGGACGCTCGAGTGTCCAGCGCGCGGGAGCGGGCGCAACAAATAAACGGCGCGCGATGGCGTTTCTGCCCACGCGTTGAACTAGTTATGCCGCGCGCGCGGTTTTTGCGTCTCCGCTGGAGCGCCCGGAGCGGTACTGTAAGTGCATCTAGTGCACCCCCTAGTTGGTTTTGGAGTATTGATGACAAACGTGGTTGAGGGACTAATGTGTTTGTGAGAATTACAGGATAACACAGGTAGTAGTCCCTTGTTGATTCGGTTTACCTACCAGAGATGACCCCTAAAAATGTATGAAGACATTGAAGACAATGGTGGTTCGTGAAGACATTCACGTTGAAGATAATGACTTGTGACATTCACTTGAAGACTATGGAGTGCGAAGACATAGTTTCTTTCGTAGTTTTCTTTTCTTCTTTATTGAGTCATAGGAACCACCGTACTGTTAAATGGGGGTCCAAGTGAACAAAGTCAGATGACTGAAGTGATGCTCAACCAAAATCATATGTCTTTGAGTGAAGACAATGAGAGCAAAATCTTATCCAGAGTTGGATAAGTCAGCTTTGCTTGTAGCCCAAGCCAAGCTGCCGCGTGTGTTTGAAATCCGACCATTGGACATGTGTCGATTCCTTAGTGACCCAGGGTCATTTCGTACATATCATGACGGGTTACCTTCTGGTTATAAATAGCCCACCCCCTACACCATAAATTGGTGGCTGCTCAGAGTAAGTGCACGGCTTTTGTCGTTTGAGAGAAACCCACCTCTGAAGCCTTTGAGAGAGAGAGATCCTTGTGAGGACAAAGCCCAAAAACACCCAGAGCCGAAGAGTGTTAGGCATCACTGAAGTCTTTCTGTCCGCGTGACCTGAAGACTTGTTACACTTGAGGATTGTGTATCCTCCAGCCGGTTAGGCGTCACGTTTTGAGGATCCAAGAGTTGTTGTGCATCGCCAGTGAACGGAGTATGTGAAGGTTTGGAAGTCTACCTTGAAGACTTACCAGAGTGATTGGGCTAGGACTGGGTGTCCTTAGCTCAAGGGGAATAAGGTGAAGACACAGTCTTCTGAGTTCAATCTGGAACTGGTCTACCAAATCCTTGTCTTCACCAAGCTACTGGTTCTATCCCCTACTTCCTTTACTTTTCAGTTTATCTTCGTGAAGTCATTGCCTGCCTGCCTGATTTGTTTGACTTCACTGTGTGAAGACTATTACCTGTTTGGCTTCATACTGTCTTCCATTCCGATCCATACTACCTATCTGCTGTTAGTCTTCGTGTTTTCGCTTCATTGCTTAATTGACTATGGCTTGTCTAGTGTAGTTCATCTTCCACTGCATATCATATAGGTTCATTCTAACAATTTGTCTTCAAAGACCTCGTGTTTTGAAGACTCCCATAAAAATCGCCTATCCCCCCTCTAGTCGATAACTAGCACTTTCAATTGGTATTAGAGCAAGGTGCTCCCTTATTGTGTGTGATTCGGTTTAACCACCTGGAGTTTTAGCTATGTCGACTGTAGGGATAATCAAGGTCTTCGTTGCGTGCCCAGTTTTCGATGGCACTGATTACCCCTACTGGAATAATAAGATGCGTGTGCATCTTGAAGCCATTGACATCGACCTCTGGTATGTCGTCATGACTGGCGTTCCCAAGGTCGGTGAAGGTTTGGAAGTCTACCTTGAAGACTTACCAGAGTGATTGGGCCAGGACTGGGTGTCCTTAGCTCAAGGGGAATAAGGTGAAGACACAGTCTTCTGAGTTCAATCTGGAACTGGTCTACCAAATCCTTGTCTTCACCAAGCTACTGGTTCTATCCCCTACTTCCTTTACTTTTCAGTTTATCTTCGTGAAGTCATTGCCTGCCTGCCTGATTTGTTTGACTTCACTGTGTGAAGACTATTACCTGTTTGGCTTCATACTGTCTTCCATTCCGATCCATACTACCTATCTGCTGTTAGTCTTCGTGTTTTCGCTTCATTGCTTAATTGACTATGGCTTGTCTAGTGTAGTTCATCTTCCGCTGCATATCATATAGGTTCATTCTAACAATTTGTCTTCAAAGACCTCGTGTTTTGAAGACTCCCATAAAAATCGCCTATCCCCCCTCTAGTCGATAACTAGCACTTTCAATTGGTATTAGAGCAAGGTGCTCCCTTATTGTGTGTGATTCGGTTTAACCACCTGGAGTTTTAGCTATGTCGACTGCAGGGATAATCAAGGTCTTCGTTGCGTGCCCAGTTTTCGATGGCACTGATTACCCCTACTGGAATAATAAGATGCGTGTGCATCTTGAAGCCATTGACATCGACCTCTGGTATGTCATCATGACTGGCGTTCCCAAGGTCGGTGAAGGTTTGGAAGTCTACCTTGAAGACTTACCAGAGTGATTGGGCCAGGACTGGGTGTCCTTAGCTCAAGGGGAATAAGGTGAAGACACAGTCTTCTGAGTTCAATCTGGAACTGGTCTACCAAATCCTTGTCTTCACCAAGCTACTGGTTCTATCCCCTACTTCCTTTACTTTTCAGTTTATCTTCGTGAAGTCATTGCCTGCCTGCCTGATTTGTTTGACTTCACTGTGTGAAGACTATTACCTGTTTGGCTTCATACTGTCTTCCATTCCGATCCATACTACCTATCTGCTGTTAGTCTTTGTGTTTTCACTTCATTGCTTAATTGACTATGGCTTGTCTAGTGTAGTTCATCTTCCGCTGCATATCATATAGGTTCATTCTAACAATTTGTCTTCAAAGACCTCGTGTTTTGAAGACTTCCATAAAAATCGCCTATCCCCCCTCTAGTCGATAACTAGCACTTTCAATTGGTATCAGAGCAAGGTGCTCTCTTATTGTGTGTGATTCGGTTTAACCACCTGGAGTTTTAGCTATGTCGATTGCAGGGATAATCAAGGTCTTCGTTGCGTGCCCAGTTTTCGATGGCACTGATTACCCCTACTGGAATAATAAGATGAGTATGCATCTTGAAGCCATTGACATCGACCTCTGGTATGTCGTCATGACTGGCGTTCCCAAGGTCGGTGAAGGTGTCATCGCTGTTCATGTCAAGAGGTTCGCGCAACTGGACTCGACCACTAAGAACATCATCTATGGTCATTTGACCAAAGAACAAT